AGGAACCAAAAGTGATTTAATTTAGTCTTTGCCATCAGTATATGACCAGACTAGCCTGTGCAACCGTGTAGTCTGACTAGGTATTTTACTATTGGTAGCTAAACTTTTGCATTTTCGTATTGAAAAACGGACTGTTCCAATTTCAATTTTAGCGTACACAACAAATTCGGTAGGTTAAGTGTTTGTCATGTAAAAGCATTCATATCCAATCTAAAATCGGAGATACATAATTAAGTAATAATTTGACCTTAAATTGTGATTTTAACATTATTACGTAAGAGGAGCTCCACTGCGATCCAATAGCCTAAAACTTATAGAACAGCTGGGACACTTAAATTCAAAAGATAATTAAGAAATATTGAGATAATTGAAAATCATATATTTGTGCTTTTTCAGTCTGATTTGAGTAAAAACACGTTGCAACGCTTTTTAATTTTGAGGCATTGTTCACGATTAGAATTATTATTCAGGAAAAGCGGAGGGAGCGAATTATCTGAAATTTTGCATACATATTGCTCAAGACCTTCATTAAATGGAACATTAATCCCGAATTATTATTTTTAGATTAAAGACTGATGCAAGTATTACTTCTGTTATAAAATTAACCACACATTTAATTTGCTTGGGCTATTTCTTGCTGTGTCATCCATTCTGTGCAAATATTGTGGTATAAAGATGTAAAATGCTCAGTGCAATAAGCACTTCATTATGATACTAAGAAAGACGTTTTTTTTATTCAAGAAAGCCTTTGTTCAAAAGAACATCAGAAATCGGCCCCATAAAAAGATCAAGTTTTCAGTCAGTTTAAATACCCGTCTATTAACAAGTGTTTTCTTATTGTTTCACTTCATTTTTTCAAATAGTTCACGATTATTTCCGTTGATTTCATTATTATAACTAATTGTTTACACAAATAAAAAAATAAAAAATATATATCAATTATGAAGGCGTCCCGGAAGTTCATATTTTCTAAACTGATACGTGTTTTATATTTTATGCTCATATTTCGTTAAATAATAGAGCTTAATTTGTAATACATATTTTCAGAGATTCACTATTATGCTTCTTGTACCATAAATTTATAATAAAAAATGGTATGGATAAACTATTAAAATGCCTAAAGTTTTAAATAGGCTGCAACACTTGAACATGTGAAGGATATTTTTAATATAGTCAAAGGGGCATGTGGGTTATTGATGACCAGTATTTTTGCGATGTAGATTACACAATTGACAATCAATGACTGCAAAAGGCGAAGATTTTTTAACGTTTAACTTTTTACTGTGGAGAATGCTATGGCATTGATTAATATCAATAACTTCTATTTTATTAACTTTGGTAACTTTGAGACCAAATGGGAATGTATTGCTCCGATACTGCTTATCATAATTTCATGTATATAAAATGTACCAAGTGTTATTATTAAAGGCTGACATGGTCGAAATGTGAACGTTAATCACAGTTTTAGTAACTGTAATATGATTAATGTAATATAAAAGTAAAACACAAGTGACGCATGTTTTTTTTTCAATATCATTTTAATGATAATGTAAATATTTACAACAACGTAGTCGTTTTAATGTAGTGATAAATGTACAATATGTTATTTACAAATATAATACACATATAATAAACAGATTTTTTACATTGAACATATTAAACATGTATGTGCTTTTACCAGTGCTTAGGTTGTTACATTAATGGGGAGTGACGTCATATTTTCAGTCTCGTTTAAAAATATATGTACTCATAACTTAAAGGAACTCCACTGAGGTCCAAAAGAAAACACATTTCTTACTACATAGATCAGCAGGGGGCATTTAAAAACAGGATATGCAAAATAAGATAAGAAATATACTCAGAGTCATTTTTTCCACAATTATAACTATTATTATTCAGGAAAAAAAGATGTCGCCGAAAGATCTGAAATTTTGCACACAAATTATTGGTCTAGACCTACATCAAATGGAACATTGATCCCGAAATTTTTTTTTCAGTCCAGTCATGTTAAAAATCAGCAGTGGAGTCCCTTTAATGTATTTCTATAGATAATTATATAACGTGAGGACGTAAAACACACGACGTGAAAGTGAAATTTTTAAAGCTAGTATCAATTCTAGATCAAACATTTTGAATTTCGATAGTTGAGATCAGTTTTGCATTGATTATGTGAGATTTCCCTATGATGAATAAATTTTTTTTATCAACAAATGATAAAAAAGCTTGAACAATTTATCATTTCTTGAAAAAAAAAATCATAGGATAATCCCAGCATTTAATGCTTTCTGAACTACGAAAAATTTCATTTCCCTTTTGAAAGCGTGAAAAGTTTCATGGACGAAATATAATTTCCGTAATAAACATTTTTATATGATTATTACGGAAATTATAATTATTATTCGGACACAAATTCTTAAATCACGTTTCCAAAAGAAAGAAAGGGTATTTATTTTATTTGCGATAACATGCAAACACGGTTATTATATAGAAAGATAATTTCAGACCAACTTTCTCATTTCTTCATTCAGAGATTGATTTTAACTAAAGTTTCTGGCGAAATCGAAATCAGAAACAAAAGCTTCAAAATGTCTCTGTAACAAGTTAAAATTTTAGAGATTGTAATTTCTAAACACTAGTGTTAATTTAACACTTCTTATTAATAAACAAAATAACTTTAAACTTAAAAAACAGTCTTTTATAGTCCTTTTTATACAGAAATAATCTATTATACAACGAATAAATACACCAGCTTTTTAACGTTCAGACTGCCTGTGCTTAGTACATTTGAATGATCTATCTAGTCCAAGATATATTTAAGACCCGCTATTATCACTTGCATCTAAGTCTGTTTTGATAGTGACTGGTGAAAGGGAACCGGAAGTTGATGTTGCTATGACTTCATTTCCGGGAGAGATCGGCAGGTTGAGCTGGTTTGGGGACGAATACTGGTTGTGTGTCATGTGATTCTGTGGAGATATGGCTCCCTCTGGGGACATGTGTGTCACGTGACCTTGATGCTGGTATTGGTACGGATTCTGGGTGTGGATTGGCTTAGGAGATGGTGACGTCACTTGGATCTGGTGTTGCGCATGTGGGGTCATTTGCATATTCATGTGTTGTTGGAGATGTTGCTTGTTTTCTTCAGGGAGGTCACTTAGTTCAGACGCCATCTTGATGAGCGTGTTTTCTTCGCGTTTCTTGTTCTGTTTCCTTTCCTTAGCACGGCGATTCTGGAACCAGATCTTCACCTGTAAACAAAACAAAAACAAACGTTAAAAATCCAAGGAAATATTGAAAATTAGATAAAGCACGTATAATCATTTATTTAAAATCTTGAATAGAAAAAAGTATTAGTCAGTATTTATTATTTTCAATGCTTTGTTGTCCACAATATTGTTTTTATTACGTGATAATTCGTGTGAGTGAACATGTATGAATTTTTTTTATGTTTTTGATATTTTATAATAAAGAGTGAAAAGTTTTTTTTATTCGTACTGCTTAGTGACAAGTTGATTCTACAATGCTTAAATACTTTGGTTCAAACACCTTTTGTTTTAAGCTTGCAGACCATCCGAACCACTTTTCGAGCCCGCTGACTTCAATTAACCAGTACTGGTGCCATATAAAAAAAATATAGAAGTGACTCTATTATACATAGGATCCGCAATCCCTGGGTTGACGGTCAAATAACTAAGCCCCAATGTCGACACTCAATAATTTTAACATAGACGTCATGGCATTTGTTTAGAAACGATAGATGAAACTTTGAATTATAAACAAGTAATGTGAAATAAATAATTAAATACCTGGCGTTCGGACAACTGCAGAGTTTGAGCAAGTTCGGCCTTTCGTCTGATAGTAATGTAACGGCTGTAGTGAAATTCTTTCTCAAGTTCGAGTCTCTGATGGTCACTGTACACAACACGGTACTTGTCCTTGGTGCGGGTTTTGCCTAAAATATAAAATGGTCGTCATTATTATCATTATCATTATTATTATTACTATTATTATTGTTGTTGTTGATGATGATGATTATCATCATCATCATCATCATCATCATCATCATCATCATCATCATCATCATCATCATCATCATCATCATCATCATCATCATCATCATCATAATAATCATATCACCATGTAACAACATCTTTTATTATAATCATTTTATTTTTTCGTAAGCTGCAAATGCTCTAGCACTTCTAAATTTATGATTTATTTAAACACATATGATTGTTTATAGAAGAGTTTTTTCTTTCTATTCAATATATATTATGCATAATTATATGTGACATTTCAAACGAAAAGACATGATTTTCACACATGAATAATGAATTAATTTATGATTCTTTTTAGGACCATAAACGAATAAAAACATTATCTCAACATTATCATGAATTGAAGATGATGATTAACTTAGCAAAACAATAAATTATGCAGTAATTTGCATGAGACAAAGTATAATTTTAGAAAATAGTCATTATCATGTTAGGGGTTAAATTATAGGCGCAAAGATCAAAAGAGGGTATGACCATTTCTAACTGTATGTACGTAACAAATATTTTTCATTTTCCAAAAGTTTAGGTTTGAAACGAGGATGGTTCTGTTTTTTATATGTCTAAACTTTTTTTGTCGTTTTTTTTTTAAATTTTTATTACAAAGATAAATGTTAATTATGTTTATTCCTTATTGATCTATTCATTTATTTTGTAAATTTCTTTTTTTTAAATGATTGAGGAAAATTGGTTTATGGTCATAAGCTTGACATTATCAGTTAAAAGTTATGTATAATTTTTGTTCTTGTTTTTCACCAAAATCCATTACTGCTATTGATATAAGACGAGATTGAACGAATATGTATTTGCCATCTTTTCATTTCTCACGCACGTGTTAATCTTACGATACACGTAACTAATACATAAAAGAATTATAGAATTATACGTAAAGTGGAATTTCTTTCAAGTTAGCGGGCGCTCTTCGAACCTTTGTATGCAATTTATTGGTCTCAATGGACTATAGGTAATGTTAAATTATGTAAGTGTACTAAAGGTGTAAATTGGAATAGAACAGCCATTGTTGTCCGCGTTCTTTGGTCACGCGCCGATCGGACAATTATTTCAATGAGATTGAGAAAATGTTGATAGAATAGACAAAATTATTATAGAAAAGTTAGCTATGAATCTAGATTTAAGAACTTTAGAAAAATATTTTATTCTCAGAAAATCACAATGATCTAATTAGCGAAGATAATAATGTCTTGTTTTCCATGTATATATTTAAAATAAATTCAAATAAGAACACCCAAGTTATCCCCACAATGTCATTTCTTTGATCTTTTTCTTTCATCTTTTGCTTTTTCATTGTATTATGAATTACGGACAGTAACGGGCCAGTCCTATTTGACGTAACTTCCAATTACAGCTTGGTCATCAAATACACGAAATGATTGTGACCACAACGACATAATGAACCGCTATTTTACCTAACCGGAAGTAATCAATCATTCGCTTTTGGTCTCCTGAAATGAAGATTTCTTCAACATTTTCCCACATCTCTGTGGAAGTTTCCCTCATATTTAATATTTTCGAGCATTTCGTATGTTTGTCAGAGTAACAACGTCGATATAAACTCAATAATGAAACATGTATATCAAAGTCTTCAATTCCGTGACGAAATTAAATATTTATTTGTTTTCCCGAGTTATTATCACTTTTTATTGATAGGCAATCGAGGCCGATCATCTTAATGGCGTATTAGGATCTCATTCACGATGTCATATCAACCATTTATTTATTTAGTTCCTACATATTTCGTAGCAACCGCTATTTAACGTTACTTTAATTAATCCATACACCAGCAGGCGATATTTTTATCGTCTGCTTATTTAAGTTGACGAAATATTAAAAAATCATTTTCAAAAATAAATGTCATTTTAATAAATCTTTATACAAATCATTTATTTCAATTTTTGAGAGTTTTTTGCCGAAGCTAAGATAGTATACCCAGCATGCAATTTTAGAAATGTTTTTTTTTTTCTTGTCGCTGTTTTATCTCGTGTGCTAATCAACCTGTATTTTTGCGCCTCTAATACATTTCAATCTTTACCATTATCAAAGCTATTTATCCACACTTCAAAAAGATGATTTTATTTAATTAAATCTGTTCAAAGTCGCTGGACTTACGCTGCTTTATGTAGAAGCTTTTTATCTTAGATTTACTTTAGTTATCATTTTTGTATATTTACTTTTTAAAGTGATATCTGCACAAAGAACGTGATTGCAACAGAGAAAAGAAAAAAACTTTTTTTATTTATTTCTTTACATTCGTTTAGAGTAATTTTCAAAGTTTTCTGCAATTCATTATAATATATATGCACTTTACATTTGAGATACTGTTAAGAAGTTAAATTACCTATGACCACACATATTTTTAGTATTAATTAAAACCTAGATAAAATTAAGTTTAAATAAAAAAAACGTAAGATACATGCATTTGCCAATTATAAAGTTGCAAAAAAAACAACAACAAAAAATAAAAAAAACAACAACAAAAAACAACAAAGAAATGGAAAATTTATGTTTGCAGTAAAGTTCTGAAACACTTATTGCTCATGATCCTTTAACGGTTATTCAGGAACCGTACCAACAGGAACTGTATTGGTCTTAGTGGCCCCCTTTTGATGTTTAATTAATAAAGATGTGATTACAAATGGTCTTACATAATCAGTAATTATCATAATTCTAAAATAAAGACGTTGATCATGGAATCTTCAATCGCATAAAACACATGTGCCGTTATGTGAAACAGTCCCTCTTTATAATAACCGTTACGGTACATTATTGGTAAGGGTCCGTGAAACCCTAGGGGTCAGTCTCAATAAATCAAAGTCACCGCCAGAATCTGGAAGCAGGGTGGTCGTCACAGGAGCCAAGGGTGCGGTGTGCCTTAGACATTTTATAACCCCTCCTAATGTTTTATATGTTAATATGTTTATGAATAGTTTAATACATTATATTTATTATTAACATCTTTGATAAGTAAATAATGATAATGGAGATCTGTTTATAACATATGTTTAACGGGCTATAAATTATCAACTCGACCGACAAAATATAATAGCGTCCGATTACATAAAATTATTAAAATGTTGAGAATAAGATTTTAGAATTATTACATTTATGATTAAAACTTAAAACTAAAAGTATAGCATCAACTACTATAGAAAAAGAAACTAACAATTCAATTAATTCAGGTACTGAATTCTTGCTGGAAAAAAAAGATCCAAAAATTCTTGCGCCATTTTACGACAGCGCGTGAAAGTTCGGGCGAATAAAGAGGATTAGTTACGTTTAATGAATTAACACACTTCGTCATTTTACCATTAGTTTAAGTACTGACATTGGACTGGGAAATGTAACACATCCGAATACATTTACAATAGGTCATTGTTTTGTTGAATTCAACTGGAAAATGAAACTGGCTATAATATTTAAGATGAATAAAGCAAATATATATGAATTCCAGCATTCTAACGCAAGAATTCCCTATCTAAATATTCATATGATGTTTTTTTCTTTTAATAAATAAATTACATTCAAACATTAAAACTTCATGTCTCCAGATGAGCCAAAATATTTCAAGAAAATCATCCATGAGCAAAATGTACTAAGATATTAAGAAAAAAACAACAAACAAAAAACATATTGACAATACAAAAGAAAATGCATGTTTTATGCAACTATTGACTTATTTTTGTAGGATTTATTACCATATTACTACTGCGTGACTAACGCAGTGAAAGGCTTTTTTTATTAGTTCTGAACAATTTTGGTAATTTTCATAGATTTTAAGTGCCGTTTGCAATAAGTAAAATCATTTTCTTCGTGACAGACAATATTTTACATTTCTTATATTTTTTTTTAAAGATTTTCATGAAAATAAGAATTTATCTGTTCAAAGCCTGGCGTTAAATCAATGACCTTTAGTTTCGGACTTGTACATTAGTCAGATTGAATCTGATGTACCCGAGAATGAAAGAAAATTAGGGTGACGCTACTCGATTAGAAATTAATAATAAATATGACGCACGTGCGCATATCTATAACAAATCTAATATAAACTATAGACAAGAGTTTGTGAATGCAAAAAACAATTATAACAAGATCAAACGCATACAAAAGTATAAGTATAATTTAAAAGAAAAAAACAATCTTAATATTTTAAGCAAATCTCAGCCTCGTCAATTTTGGAAAAAAAAATAAAGAACAATACTCTAAAATCTCAGCCAGCAAGCAAAAATCTTGAATATTGACGAGTTGTATAATTTTTTCAAAAGTTTATATTGTTCAGATAATACACATTTTGATAGATGAGGAACTCAGTGGTAATTATGATGAAGACCTTGATTGTAAAATAACTATGTCAGAAATAAAAAGAAAGCGATCTATTCACAAAAATGATAATAAAAGTAGTGGTCCTGATACACTAATCGCGGAAATATACAAACACTCATTTCTTTTATTTCACAGATAATACTAGAATTATTTAACAGAATTTTTGAATCTGGAGAATACCCAACATCCTGGGGGTCAGGAATCATAGTACCAATTTTTAAGGGAGGGGACATTAATGAAGCAAAAAATTACAGAGGGATAACACTTATAAATATCATTGCAAAAATTATTCTCAAGTCTTACTAAATCGTCTTACAAAATGGTCTACCAAATATAACAAAATCATCGATAATCAATATGGATTTCAGAAGGGAAAATCAACAGTCGACTGTATTTTTTCTTCTACAAGCTATTATTAATAAAACATTTGCTCTCGTAAAAAACTATACTGTGCATTCATAGATTTTTTGAAAATGCTTTGACAAATTAGAAAGATCATTTATATTTCAAAAAACTTGTTAACGAAAGGGCAGGTTCTAAATTCATTAAAGCTATCCAATGTATGTATAGTACTGTTAAAGCAGCTGTAAGATATAATAAAATGCGTTTTTCACCCTTTTTTGAATCAAACATCGGCGCAAAACAGGGAGATCCCAGCTCCAGTCTATTATTTTTATTCTTTGTAAATGATATATTAAACAGTTTTTCGACGAATAATATTGGCGACATTTTTACTCTCGATGAAATTAAAGCTGTTCAATACTTCTTTTTGCCGATGATGCCGTACTATTTGCACATTCGCCGGAAGCGCTACAGTCATTACTTAATGATCTTCAAAATTATTGCAATAGTTTTGGAATTTAAATGTTAACACTAACAAAACAAAAATCATGATTTTCGAACAAGGTCGTCATACTGCATACACTTTTTCTTTTTAATAATATCCCACTCGAAGTAGTGACATCATTCAAAATATCTAGGAATTACTTTATTCAAAAACGGTCACATGCATCGTACACAAAAGAAGCTTGCTCAACATTCGTTATTTGCTTTACATAATTTATTTATTGTTTTTAATCAAATAGACCTATCTACACAAGAAAAATGTAAACTATTTGATTCTTTGGTGGGATCAATCCTAAATTATGGCGCCGAAATAATAGGCAATTACGAGGGTAAAAGATATTGAGCGTATACATTGTAAATTTTACGAAAGACACTTAGCGTTAAAAAATCAACGAATCTAGCTGGTCTTTACGGAGAAACTGGGACGGTATCCGATGAGAATACACCGCAAAATTATTATGATTAAATATTGGTTAAAAATTTTGAAGCTCAGAAAATAATTCATTAATAAGAAAAATGTATAATGTCATGAAAGAAGATGTCAATAATAACATATCATATAACGGAAAAAATTGGGCATATCAATAAAAAAAATACTTGACGAAATAGGTTTTTCTTTCCTATGGCTACAGCAAAAACGAAATTAATATATCATTTCAAATAATAAAGAATAGAATATTAGATATATATAAACAAACTTGGTATTCAGAAATAAATAATTCAAGTAAATTACAATCATACAGTATGTATAAGTACGAACTCGAATTTGAAAAATACTTAAATTGTGTAAATATAAATAAATACAGAGTACAACTGACACAATTTCGGCTATCATCACATAATCTAGAAATTGAAATTGGTAGGCACAACGGAGTTCCAAGAGAAAATAGACTATGTCAACAGTGCAATATGCATGTCATTGAAAACGAATTCCATTTTTTACTCGTTTGTCCAAAATATTATAACATTCGTAAGAAATTTTTAAAACCATATTTTTGCCGTTGGCCTACACTTCAAAAAATGGAAACTTTAATGTCATCTAAAAATGAAAAAGAACTTAATAATTTGTCAAGATATTTATATTTTTCACTTAAAATAAGAAATTCTGATTAAGTTTTATATTGTTAGATCTAAATAAAGACATACCGTAAATAACATATCTGAAAACATATTGTATGACTGTATTTGTATACTCGTATATATATACATATAGATAACAATAACAATTTATTTCAATGTTAAGTATATATCTCATATTGTTAATTGCTAAATCTCATGAAGGTATATTGTTAATAACTTCTCTGAAAACATTTTGTACTGTTTTATGAACAATTTATTGTAAAATGTCTTACACTTTACCTATATTATGTAATAATGGCTATATGCTATATGTAGTTTAATGCCAAATAAAATATTGAATTGAATTGAATATTAAGACAACGTGGCCAGTTGTTACACCGGCGCTCGCATTTTTTTAGCGCGAAAAAGTCAATAATTTCAAGTTCAGATATAACATGTAAAATGTCCATTCATTTAATTAAGACATATAGATATTAAATATATAATCGCCAGTTCTTTTAAGTTAATTTCATCGTTTCATCATAAATTTGACACATATATTCGTTGTCTGAATTTTTCCAAACACTTCTTTCAATATCAAAAATTTGATTTTTTTTTTAAATTGAATGAATACAAAATACCCCACGTTTTTTCTGTACTATTATTTGATAGAGAACGCGTGTGTCGGTCAGACATTAAAGTATTATACCATTGTCAATTAAACGTAATTGAAAGTTTTCTTACACATACGTGCAAGGTAACGCCACCATATATATACGTTACATCATGTATTGTGTATACAAAAGAAGATTTCTATTCAATCCCATTTAATTTTCACCAATTATCTCGCCTAGGCATATGTGGTCATTTAAACCAAGGTGATAGGTCTATTTATCATTTTTGTTAAAGTTAACGCAATTTTTATCCCAATTTTATGTATTTCCGGGAAAAAGGAGTTACGGTGGACGCGGACTTTTTTTCCCATTCAAAATAATAGAAAAAAAAATTTTAAAAATTTTGCTGGGGGATCTAAAAAACTTTATTAACTTTTGATCTTGAAGTGTTTTGACTAATCTTACATAAGTCTGTTTAAGTAAGATAGAAGATGGTCTGTTATAGAAGAAAAAACGGCAGGAAATTGAAATATCATACGCTAAACTTCGCCTAATTCTTCCCATTTTTGGCCTTAATCAAAATGAAATAATCTAACAATTCTACTTTTAGATTTGTGATATAACTTTTAAAATGACTCATAAAGTAAAAAAAATATAACAGCTATTTCATGTAGCGCGATGAATATAAAAAAGTAAGAATATACTTTGGAACTATGGCATTATATGATTTAAACCGTACTTTAAATTACACTATTTCCATATCTATTTAACGTCTGATTTTAATTACTTTTAATTTCTAATGTCATTGGTTAAAGTCTTTGTTTTCTGATTTTTTTAAGATATACCATACTCAAGTTTAATATTTGAAAATGACTTCAAGTCTATTTTTATGCATATAAAATACATAGAAAAAACTAGTTTTAAACTCTACACACAAGGTACTAAAAGGATCAACTTTACTGGAAACATAGTTTCCATATTCCTTTATTCAAATTAGACAGATTTACAAAGAATTGCATAGATTAGAATTTCATAGCTTTCGATTAATTTCTGTGATTAGAATATTTCACTCAAAGATGGGCATGGTATATTTTTAATTACACAAAGATGTTCCTAAAACGTCAAAAGTTTAGTCTTAAATAATGTATAAAACAACTTTAAGCGTAATGTGGCTTTTTTTTTCACCCTATAGTCCTTCCTTTATAGGTACTTAAAAGGTGCAGTCGCATACATCAAGTCAATGAATCGGGGTTTTGTTTTTAATGTGACAATTTTCTAATATTGTTTTATTTATGCATGAAGTAATTGATTTTTAGATTAGGAACCGCATCCAAATTACACAAATCCGCCTTTTATATCTCGGACATGAATCGACGAATAAAGAACATATATTTGCTATATCAAAGCAAATTAAAGATTAAGAAGAAAAAAATCGATCTAATTTTTCTATTCAATCATTTTTAACTTTTTAAGAACTTTTTTCTCTTTGTTCTTTTTTTTCTGTAAAGCATTTAACTGTAATTCAACTAAATCTTTTAAGCTAAATTTACATTAAAATATTTTCTAAAATACATTAGAGATAAAGAAATGAAGAGCATAATGGACTTTTTAACGTGAAAAAACTCTGTTTTATATTTGTTCAAAAACAAACAAGTATAATTACATAAGATAAAAAGAATTACACACATGCTTCCGGCATTGTATTGACAATAAATGTATTTATAAGATATTTTACATTAACAAAAACGATGAAATTTTGTTATAAAACTATTTTTATGCTTTGGTAAGAAAAATATGATGTTAATATAAAAAGTTCATGTATAGCTCAGAACTGTATATGAGTAGAAACCTCCATCAACCCTTTTTGGCGCACGAGTTATTTCGACCCGTGCGAACTTTGGCGTTCAAATATAACAATAAGATCCATAGTTTATTGTTTTGAATATTCTGATGGAAAGTAATAACAACATGTATAGCATGCATAGTTCAATTAATAACTTGCCATGCATCTCTATTTGAATAGGAGGCCAGTTAACCCGTGCACACTATAAACCTAATAGAAAAGGATCCAGCCCTTGAATATGAAGGAGTTTGTAAATAAAAAGTGATAGAAAGATTGTTTATTTCTTTAGAATTTAGAAAACAATTCATGGGCTAGACCCGCGTTTAACTAACAGTGTGTTTACCTGATACTGGAGCAGACTGGTAAGCGGCTTTCTTCATCCAATCATAAGGGGGTCTGAGCTGCTTGTTGGACGGAGAACCGGAAGAGGAACTAGAGGAGCTGGTGTCACAGGGCGAGTCTGAAGTCATCTGAGTCGGAGCTTGGCTGTAGTCTACACCCATCTGTCCAGTACGGTAAGGATAAGCGCCCATTCCCGCCGGAGTACTGGTCATGGCGCTAGAGGTAGCAGGACCGTAGCCCCATTCGTCAGGCCTAGGACCGTACATAGCGCTGTACCAAGCCTGCTGGACCCCATGGTCTGGCACTTGAAACTGGTTAAAGTCCTGTGGATGCTGCGTGCCAGATCCGTTGTAGCTGAAGCCGTTGAACGGGTAGCTTACCGGCGGTGACGGGTATCGCGGGAACATCCCTGAAGCCGGTGGCTGATCCGGGCACATCACCATGGTAGACATACTTATTTAATAACTGTGTCACACAAGTCCACAAGAAATATGTATCACGTAAAATATATGTCTATTTACACTGTTTATTATGATTAGTATATCGCTCCAATAAAATGCAAATTGTTTCAAATTATATAGCACTACTGTAAAAGTTTTTAGAGTATAAAAAGTCAACTCAACAAATGAAATATAGTTCCCTTTGATGATCAAGTAAATAAGTCCATAAAATAGTTTACATTTGTCGAATTATTTGTCAACACTGATGAAAGAAGAAATATCTTAGGTTTTATTACCGTTTCCCTGCCGCATAAATTAAGGCGGGGTCAAATACCCGATAAGAAATCGACCTAATCAATATTCATAAACTGTAGTTTCCCGTAAGGTATTGATCCGCCTCTTTACTTACGTTTAGATCACGCGGTATGAATACGGCTCGTTTATTGGTCAAGAGGTAATTTGACACCTGGAGGAGGTCATGTTAATTAGCAGAGTTATAATTCTGCCATATAGCACAGGATGGTGCGGAGAATTTGACTGTGTATTGTAACTTGGCAGGTGACAACTAGCATCATAGAAATCCCCATACGGCACAATATACTATTCTTGAAAATGAAGTAATTCTTGATTTTATGACTTCATACAATTTCTTAAAATAAATAAATAAAAACAAACTAAAAATATCATTGTAATAATGTTTTATTTTAAACTTTAATCGATGAAAAACAGTTATGTTTTTGATGCTTTTTTTGGTCAGAAAAAAATCAGAAATAAATTGACTTTTCATTTGAAATGTGTTTGATATAAGGGGGGGGGGGGGGGGGGGGAGTTCTTGTTTAATGCAACGGCTGATGAAAATGCGCGGAAAACATCTCTGTTGAAAAAACAGAAACATCGTTAAAATTACACATTTAAAACTTTTTATTTATAGACAGTTTTGATCAAAATATACGCAGTTTCTATAATTTGGTATCGTTTATATACAAACAAATATTGAATACTGATTTGAAAAGTCTATCATTCGTTTTTTTTTTATTATTTACTTTTATATACCTAAAAATCCCAAAATTCCTTCTCAAATATTGTTTTATTTTATATCATATTTATTCTTCATCAAGGGAAAAGTATATACGTGTATTTCTTTGATAATAAAGAATTTCTATGGAAAGTGATTTAAATTATCTTTTTTAATTTTTAAAAACTTGCTTCATTATATAATGTATTATAGTAGGTTTAATTTTTGTATGATTTGTCACGGAAATACCTCCTTATTTTTTTTAGATAACAACTATAATTCAAATGATATGTAATTGAAAAATAGTTGTGTTACAATTCCTGGTTTTTTCTTCAGAAATACTTACACTCAACAAATTAAAAGATCGCCGCCTTTTATTCGGATGGCATAGCTACTTCTGCAAAACATACTTGCATAAAACACTTAAAAATGATAACATTAATTTTGTAATTAATATTTAACATTAACTGTTATCAGAGACATAGATAACATGTTATTAATGTCTCTCTGTTGTTATGCATAACAAGAAGGGAACATTCGCTTGTTATTGTAAAATCTTACACACAATCACGATTATTATTCATTACGTATTTTATTTTCGAAAGAATCAGGTCTTACGGTTGAGAAAATGAATGATATACACTTTTAAAGTTAAAGAATGATATAATTTTTATAGTTCAGTTGCTTGTCCCTTTTATCGCATTTTTTTTTCGATATTTCACCTGCGTAAAGGAAAACATATTATTCAACAAAATTTCAAACGATAATAAAACAACAATAAAATTTATTTATTTTAATATTTAGCATAAAATAAATACATATTCATAGCTGACAAAAATACAAAACATATTGAAAGTGGAGGTAAGCGTTACATAAAAAAGCAGTAGGGTTACATACGATTTAATTTATTCAATTGTTCTTTAAATGTAAAATACAAATATTTTGACAGACTATATATTATTATACTTATTATATACTGATTTTTCATCCAAGGGAAAACGTGTATGACTTTAATGTCTGATTATACGATCAAATAAAAATAACTTTTTTTTGTTCTCTTTAAATTGAAATTTTGACATATAAATAAAAAGGATGAAATGTATTTTGTCAACTGTAAGAAAAAAAAAGAAATGTATTTTAATAAATATTTAGTAGCAGCTAAAGTCATGTGTCGCGAAATTGATTGTTTGATAATAATGTTTATATGAGCCTTTTTCACTCAGAAATTATTTAAATTTTTAAACATCCATTACTGTATTTAGCCGCTATATAATACACGATATGGTCGAATCAATAATTTGAAGTAGCATAAATGCATGATTATTTTATTAGCTGCAGTAATTCGAGGCAATAAATAAATTTTTAATGTTTTTGGCGGGGTTTTCGCATAATGTTCGATAGTTTGATAGTAAGTGAACACATGAAATAAAGACATCTATTTCAACGTCACCTTTAACCTTATCTGATTCTAGATCCCATATAAAATCATTAATCAGTAAAAATAGACAAGGTATTTTACAGATTTTTGGTGTTAAAATTTTCAAGATTACAATGTATGATAATGTAAAAATTTTCGCAATCAAGTTAAACATGCGTTTGAAGTGACCATACCCGTATTTGACAAAGTTATAACCGTTGATGATCGCCGGGATAATCGTAACTTCAAAGACATGTACTTGTCAAGTAGTCCTTTTGCCGAATAATATACGCAACTTCATTTTAAACGTTACCGGAAGTTCAGACGTAAAGACGTCTGCAACGTATGTGGTTTGTCGTGCATCCAAGATGCTAGTTTCAAGAAACTATTTATTTCCGTCGTGTTTAATTTCTAAAAAAAAATAAAAACAATTAGCTCAAAAGATTTTTGTCGACAATAACAAAATACATTATAAATACAAATTAAGTGAAATAACAACCTATAGAATGAAATACATGTGGTAGATTCAATAATCTTCGATTTTCTACAAAAAAATGCCTGAAATACTTTGTATAGAAACACAGAATTAATTGTATTTTGTTGTTGTTTTGATGGATTTTTTTACAAAGGTTGATCCAATCCAATTATACACACACATACACACGTACTATTAATAAAAAAAATAAAAACAAAATTATTTCGATTTCACTGCTGTACAAATCTATGAATATAATTTATATTTTGACACAAGCGTTACTCTTCGGTAAACGACACATACTTCATGTCATAAAAGTAGCCAATATAATGATCTTATTTTCTCATCAACGCAAAAACATAGACAAAATAAACAAACAAATCTACAGAAGAAGTATATATATGTTCAAAGATATATTTAGTATTTGATCAGACCGACTTATTTAATGAACCCTTTACTTCCCTGATACCACAGTCGTATGTTATATTCTGTTACCTATTTCCTATTTACCACCAGGGTAATATAACTTTTATTATGTTTGTTTATTTGCTCTAATATTTTGCCGGTCTTGTTTTATTGTCCTTTTAAAACAAGTTTGTGTCGGAGTGCATGAATCAGTCGGGGGATTTTCAGATGAATTCTTTTGGCTTCTCCTTATTCAAACCCTAAAACTTAATACATGTACTTTAAAAGGGGTAGGGTACGCAGTTTATTCTTTCGCTGAGGTTTTGCGTCTTTGAAGCAAACTGCAATATAAGTTGGTCGAAAGACACTTTATAGAATTGGATAACATCTACAGATTTAACATGGTTAAAATCTATTCATTCACGTTGTCCTCATACCCTTCAAATCATTTCTGATGACAATTTTAACAAATATTATCTCTAATTTTTGCAAACATGCATATAATAAAGAAATAATAATAAAAGTTTCCGTAATAAAATAGTCTATATTATATCTTTAGTTTTTTTTAAGCGAACAATCGTTCTAATCAGCGTTGGTTCAGATAGGGTATTCTGATCAAGCTATTATTACGGAATAATTATTTTGTCAATAGCAGACAGCCCACATATGGCGCTAAACCCTTTATAACCTATTCAAAAGATGGCAACAGGGGAAGTAAATACTAGATCTGTAAATGTGTTTTTATTTTGTGTGTCTTTTCTTGATCTATCTTTGCTTTGTAAATACCCGCTTGTTTTTTACAGAAATTAAATAAGATGGACATAAATGAATGAATGAATGAATGAATGAATGAATGAATGAATGAATGAATGAATGAATGAATGAATGAATGAATGAATGAATGAATGAATGAATGAATGAATGAATGAATGAATGAATGAATGAATGAATGAATGAATGAATGAATGAATGAATGAATGAATGAATGAATGAATGAATGAATGGGTTAATCACTTTGATGATTTAGTTACACAAACAGCATGATTGCTGTTGTATATTCTTAATATGTTACCTTGTCTAAATAAAGATATCATCATGAACACAAATGCACCATGTTGCATGTAATAGTTATAGTATATGAAACGAGTTAGTTACGAGGGTATAACACTGGCTGGGGCGACATCAAGGGGTGTTTCTGCTAAAAAATACCGAGGCCGTTAGGCCGAGACATTTTTTTGCAGAAACATCCCGAGATGTCGCCCCAGCCAGTGTTATACCCCCGTAACTAACGAGTTTCATATACTATAACTGTTTTATCGCAATGGCATAATGTTTTCTTTTTTGTATAGAAACAAATAAATAAATTAATCGTTAGCTACATTACAGTTATTTATCATAAGGCAGTTTTTCAAGTTGTTTTCGCTGCCGCAAAAAAAATATACAAAATACATCCAATATAAGAGGCGAATTGTATACTGTTACCAAGATTGATTTAAGATTAAAGGGCTTTTTTCATTTCATTAATTATCTTTGTTTATATTTTTCATTGTATATATATATATATATATATATATATATATATATATATTTTATTTTATTTTATTGATTTCATTTTTTATTATCTTATGGTTTTTTTTTGCTACTGGGAATGGTCGTTACCACTGCCCCATTGGAGCCTCTGTGAAAAAACTGTATTGATATATACAAGGAGCGAAAAAAAACTAGACCGATATATAACAGTACAGTTTTTTTCCTATATGAATCAATGAAAAAACTGTACTGTTATATATCAATACAGTTTTGAAATGCTCATTGAAGTGTACTGAGTATAATGGGTTGGAAAGAACAAAGGAAAAGCTCACAGCCATGCGATAATTTCTGGTATAGAAAAGTTTTTTTTTTATAAATCTAATAATATATATAATTGAGAAACTTGAGTAGATAATCCATTATTACCCGAGAAC